AGTTGATCGCTTAATTTCACGTTCAATGTCAAGGCGTGACAATTCCAAGGATGGAGCCCAAGTCCAGTGCAAGCAATGTTTGGGCCCACCCAAATGCCCACTTTTTTTTTGGAAAAAATTCATATATCAGGTGTTAAGTTTCATCCAATTCAATTTTCAGGTCATAAGTTTAAAAATACAAAAATCAGATATTTATTTATTAATTAAAAATATTCTATTAATTAAATGTAATAAGGTCACAATTATAAAATTAATAGTCACTGATACATAATAATAGGTCACAATTTATTTCATTGGTCACAAATAAAAAATTTCATGTCACATTTTATTTCATTGACCACATATCAAAAATTTTATAGGTTACTGTTTATTTCGTTTGTTATGGATAAAAAATTTTATAGGTCACAATTATTACGTTGGTCACAGATCAAAGTCACAAATTATTTTTTTAATCACAAATGATCAGATATTAAGGTTACAAGTTAGTCTGGTTGGTCACATACATCAAACATCCAACCACCGATCTTGATCCACCAACAATACTTGGTCACAAATCGATCAAATAGTTAGTCACAAATAGTCTTCATCTCATGTCGTAGTCCCTGTTGCCTCCGCCACTGTCACATCCACTGCCACAATAACAACACAACACCACGAGTACATCACCACTGTCACCACCTCCAACCAGATCTGAACCTACCAAATATTGGTCACATACACCAAACACCCAACCTCGACCCCGATCCACCAACATCACAATCACAACACCACAACCGTACACAAAAACACTGTCAAACCCACCCCCCGTCGAGCCACTGCACACTGGCAGAGCCACCACCACAACCACCATACCCACACACACACCTACCACCACCGCATCCAGCCACCCCACCCTCTCACATCATCGATCCTAGTCCCAGCACCACCAACTCGTTGCACAACCATCGATCGCAAAACCAACTCCAGTCATCGTGCATCTTGTTAACAACGTCATCTTCTTGCAGCGACGACGGTATCACATCGGAACCAGCTCCAGATTTCAAAGCGTTGTCGCTACAGTAGCGACGTCGTGAATGCTACTGGCGAGGTGGCACTGCATCCAGCGTTGTGCAAGACTTTCTTCCTGTGGGTAGTGCCGACGACAGCATTCTTCCTGTGGGCAGCGCCGATTTTGGACAGAGAGAGTGTAACACCCCGAAAATTTTAGAATAAAATTTTGTATTCAATTT